AATTAACTGATAAAGTAAAAAAGGAAAGAAACAAGGTGAGGTGAGAAAAGACCTATATACAGATATATATAGGCGCGCAGTGTGTCTGTTTCTTTTTCTTTGTCATCTAAGGGGTGGAGATAATAATCATAATCGTAATAGTAATAATCGTAAGTATATGATCTACATAACAATCATAGGCGTGCAAAAAATCATTTGAAAAAAATCTTCATTTTTCCCATTTCGCACCTAGGAAAAAAGTAACTAACGCGAACGGACGTGTCTTCACACTCCCACATATACATGCACGCACTGCCATATAATTAATTCACACAGCCAATCGTTCCATCTTACATGCATCTTTTTCTCTCTTTCTCTGTCTCTCCCCCACACTCGCAATTTCTTCTCTCTACAAATGGCGTGGGTTGGGGGGGCTTTGGAGTAGGGGCAATTAATAGTTACATTTAGGATGCACTTACACGTAGTGTAACGTAGTTTTTTTTTCGACACCGAGAGTGTAACTTGGGTGGGGTACAAAAAGATCTCGCAGAAACTTTTTCGCCTCCCTAAGGGGAGCGATCGAAGAAGGGTCGGCCGTCGCTCGTTTCCGCTCAACATGATCCGACGCGATGAAGGACAACCTTTCGCGGTTTCCCTTTTCTTTCCCCGGATGTTTACGTTTTCGCTTCTTTTCCTCTTGAACCGCAGTCGAGCCGGAAACGAGCGATTATGACGCCGATGAAAGACGCCGTCGAAAGTCTTCCGGAAGACACTGAAAAAATCAGAGGAGACTATTATTTTAGTCGATAAATTCTCCATCCCAGAAATTTTTCAGGCAATCCTCCTTAGATTTTATCCTTTTAATTGTCTCCCTCAGTGTTCTCTCAGAGATTCTCTGTGAGGCTGCTTTCATCGCCGCACCCTTCTTCATTTTTCACGCGCGACATCATCGCGCACATTAGAGGTGTGTATGTATATAATATATATATATAATATATGTATATAATATATATAATTATATGTATATAGTTTACATTCAGCAAGTAGTTAAAGTATTGAAAAATATATATGTAATTAATTACAAATCTAATTATCATCCTTTTGTTAATTCACTTTTACTTGGTAGAATAATCGATAGTTTCTTTTTTTTTTGGATCTCTCTTTATATGTGATGTGTGTGTGTGTGTGTGTGTGTGTGTGTGTGTGTGTGTGTGTGTGTGTGTGTGTGTGTGTGTGTGTGTGTTTCGTGTATATTCGTGACATCTCCATGCGCGTTCGGCAGTATCAAAACACGCCATTTTGTTTCTTCCCTCTTTCATTCAGATTCCGAGGGAAGGAGACCAATTCAATTATCTCGCGATGGCGTCCTTCGATACGCCTCGACGCGCATTTACGATCTTTCGGGCTTCCCGCAGAGTCCGCTCTTGTCACAGTATATCCCTCATATGTTCCGCCGTTATAAATGTAAGAATATATATTATGTCATTATATTGCAGAGTGTTTGTTTATCGCTACCTTACACGACGTTACCACGGTTATTTGTATTTTTCTGCCATTTATGAAAGAGACAATATCAATCGCTATAGTTTATAGACACATGATACTTTAAAGACAGATTACTGACTTCTTTTTTGTCTTATTAATTCTTACGTGTACCCGAGTGATTTCGAACGTATGTGTATGTGTATGCGCGCTCGCTTGTACGCATGTAATTTCTTTTGACCGTCCGTCTGTGTTTAAGTTCGTGGACCGTGTATACTTATGTATATTTGTTTGTCTGAACTTTCCCTCTCAACGAATTACATTCATTACAGGGTATGGAAAACTATGCGTAACTTTTTTTTTCCTTTGCTTACAAAGTGTTCATTACAATTGTATCGTAAAACGTATAATACTATATGTTTTTGTGTATCTCAATGTGTATGCTCTATCAGTATTAATTAGATTCACTTAACTTCTCTTTCTCTCCCACCCTCTCTCTCTCTCTCTCTATTTCTCTCTCACGTTGATTCGTGCCGCCATATTCGCGCCCCGTTGCGCACTTTACGCGCGCCTTTTAGTTTAGTATTCCCCTTTATTTCTCGTCTTTTCACTTTAGTTTGTTTGTTTTAAAGAGTATACATCGTGTTTGATTCTTCGCTAATCTGAGCCTCTCGTCTCAAGCCGAGATCCATTTGATTCGCGACTTATTGCATTGAGTTGCCGTTCTTTTCCGCTCTTTTTCTCTTTCTCTTTCTTTCTCTCACAATCTTCATCCTCCCCGTTTCGCATTTTGCGCTCCGTCTTCTCCTTCCGCCACCCCCTTTCCGTCGCCCCCGAGTATAACATCCGTGGAATTCTTCGGAGCGTGAAACTTTCGGATCGCGGCTGTAAGTTGTCGGCTTTCATAAACGCCGCTAGCCGGCCGACCGTTCGCGTTATTCGCATTCGAGTGCCATTCGAAAGTCTGGACGAAACCCGTTTAAAGTCTGCAAAGTTTCCGCGGTCGCAATGATTTCGAAAGTTTTTGCCGACTTCCTTTCATCGCCTCCTCGACTTCAACCGTCGTCGTCGTCGTCGTTGTCCTACGTTCAGCTGCCTGAACTGTCAGCGAGGTGCGACCGCGGACTGTCGAAACTTTCGCGATCTCACAGAGAAAGAGTCTCTCTTTTCCCTTTCTCGTGTGTCCGTCCGGGATTTCGTCTCGCGTGCGAGATGTTACTTTCGGATTGCGACATGAAGAACATAATCGACAGATTTCCGATCTAATTTTCGCTGCCGTGAGGTGTGAAAAATCATTCGTGCTACTTGAAGCCAATCAAGCGCGAACAATTAAAAAAATTAGAATAAATAACATCGTTTATTTTTTTATGCTTATGTTTTTGTTGATTGGCAATCACGACGTAATCTGGCGTGGGGCGACGGAAACGAAGAGCACCTGCATCGACGCGAAAAAAACAAGATATCGTAAGATAGACTTTGAATCAAGGCTCACTGACAGAACGCGGTGCGAAACTTGTCTCGATGCACAATGACTCAAGTGCGTATTATTAAAAAGAAAATAAGTTAACATTTACATACAAAAAGGATAAAACTTTACAAGTCCATTTATAAAATCAATATATTATAGAATTTATAAACATTTCGATTTTTTTTAAATCATTTATAAACATTTTGATTTTTTAAAATCAATCATAAGTTTAATATTTTTTTGAGACTTTGAAATAGCAATGAAGTTGAATTTAATAAAGATGAAATTATTGAAACCAATCAAGTAAA